ACACACACAAAGCACTTCGGTTTGGTGTCAATAAAACTGTAAAACTCAGTGGTACCGCTGAAGGCAAGAGATTCGTCTTGGCCGCAAAAAACATTATTATTATTGCATCAAGTAAACAAACACACTCACAAATCTTTGTACTTTTGTTGTAATGCAAAATACGTCTGGAGTGTCTAAAAACATCGTAAAACATTCCAGTCTTTGTTGGCATTGTAAGGAAAAACATTCAGGAACAGCACCGGAATATCAAGCGGCAACATTCTGGAATTCCAGGAATTCCACTTGTTACATTGTTACAATCCGAGAAAAGAATAGAACAAGGAGAGATGGAAGAACTGGAATGGAATGGGTGAATGTTTTCTCGTGATCCATAACATCATGTAAATCTTCCGAAGTAAACATGTGAAGTGCACAAAAAAGTGGAAAATAATAAACCGAACGCGCCTCGTATCTTTTATCCATTTACGTGATTAGGAACCGAAGGTCAAAGGTCAGTGGTGATGACCGGCGTGACCCCGTGAATCAGGAGGGTCGGACCCAGGTTACGCGTGAGCAGCTCTAGCTGATGCAGGTAGTCATGGTAACGGCTGGTGTCGGCGGGGGGGCGGGGCAAATACAGGAAGCGGACAGCAGGTGGGCAGAGCGTCTGGTCCAGGATGAGTTTGTTAACCGCTTGTAAATACTCGTCTGACACTCGCGAGGTGTTGCTAGGGAAACTGTTAGCGAACCCTTTATCGTCTTCACTCTCTTCGCTATCCATCTCTTCGATTTTTTCAGATCGCGTCTGCCGCTGCCAATGAAGCGTGACTTGGGAATCCCAGGGAACCGTGCAGATGTCCGCCTTCATTCGGAGATCTTTCAAAAGATGTTTGAGTTTCTGTTCCGTGCCTTTAAGGCTCCGCCCCTCCTCCACGCATAAAAAGAGGCGGAGCTTTGCTTTCTGCCACGCCCTCGTCATGTTTAGAATGCACGCGAGTTGAAGCAAAAAAAGCGAGCACGTGTCGACATACGCGGCGCTGTCGGGTCGCAGGAGATTCACCGGCCACACGTCGACGAATACGGGCCCCTGGAGCGCCTGCGTACGATCGAACTGACCGAAATATCGCACCAACGCCACGTTCTTCAGCATCTTCACTGCGTCTGCGATGATGCACACGTACTCCTGAGGCCCCAGAGACTTCCCGCCCCTGCCCACAGACACGCCCCCTCGCACTGGTGGGAAATGGAAGGGCGGGTCGTTCGGATCTTCGGGATCGTCGACTTGAGCGGAGCTCTCAGAGAATCTGCACATCGACAGGGTGGAGTCCTGCAGCTGGTCCTGAGGCGGCGCGTCGTCATAGAAACCCAAAACCAGAGTGTTGGGTCTCATACCGCCTGTGGGTGACAACACAAAACTAAATAAATAAAAACAAGTGAATAAACAAAAAAATTTAAATAAATAAAATACATAAATATAAATATATAAAAATAAATAAAAAACAAACAAGACAAACTAAAATATTTTGTTAATAAAATAATATATATATATATATATATATATATATATATATATATATATATATATACAAATATATAACACATTAATAAAAATACATAAAATAAATGAAAATGTAAAAAACAAATAAAGAAAATAATAAAAATAAATATAAATATATCGCTAAAATATAAAAAAATAAACAAACAAATAAGGATAAATAAAATACATAAATATAAAATTATTACATGTATAATATTACAGATAAATAATAATTAAATAAATAGTGCTGACCATGTGTGTAATGGAGCATGGAGCATACAGTGTGCTATAGCAGTTAAATCATATTTTGCTTGGTATTAATATTATTACCTTTTGTTTCTTAAATTAATCATAAATCTTACAATACAGTGACATTTGTTTCAATAAAAATTGTAACAATGGGATTACAAAGATAAAAATATATTAAAAAAATGTGCATCATATTTTTAAATAAATACTGTCATTAATTCACAAAATAAAATAAAAATCAAAAAATGTTTTGCATTATAATTTTTCTTTTTAAATAAAATATTTGTGATGAATTCACTGAATAAAATCTAAATATGAAACACAGTTAGCATTATATGTTTATTTTTTAAATAAAATATTTGTGATTAATTTACTGAATAAAAGAAAAATATAAAACACAGTTAGCATTATATTTTTATTGTTAAATAAAATATTTGTGATTAATTCACTGAATAAAATACAAATATAAAAAAACAGTTAGCATTATATATATATATTTTTTTTTTTTGTGGTTAATTCACTAAAAATAATAAAAATGTAAAAATATTTTTGCATTATGTTTTATTTTAAATTTAAAAAATGTGATAAAAAATGTAATTCAGTGAATAGTTCACTAAATTACTCAAAAAGAGACATTATCACATGATTATTAAAATACGAACCATTTTTCATTAGAATTCCAGCAAAGTAACCACAATATAAGCTGCTACCGTGCGATAAAATGAATATACATGGTTTTGGAGATCGAGTAAGTGAACTGAGGTTTGTGTGACTGGCGTCTGTCGCTCACCGAGTCCCGATATGAACAGCAGGTGTTGAACTCCATGTCTAACAGAGTCGGCCAGCGTGAGATTAACAAACGCTTTAATATTCAAATGATCCACCAGAGACAACCAGGAGTCATACTGAGACTGCAGCGGATCCGACGGGAGAACGTCTGCGGAGAGAAACACACACAGAGAGAGAGAGAGAGAGAGGGAGAGAGAGAGAGAGAGAGAGAGAGAGAGAGAGAGAGAGAGAGAGTTAGTGATTATTACAGGAAGATTTCAGGGTCTTTCAGCTTAATATTCATGTACCACATGCAACGCCTGCTGCTAATGACAACAGATCGTCGTTCGGCCGGCGTACAGCTCAGACAAAACACGCACTTACTGAAGCATTCAGTGTGTTAATCAACAGGAGGTCTTGGATATTCCTTCAACTTCTTTAGTAAATAAGTAAATATATAAATAAATAAAAATACATAAATTAAACAAATAAATAAATGGGATCCATCAAATAAATAAAAATAAATAAGCTAAAAAATTAATAAATAAAAAGAAATATAACTACATGAAAATAAATGAAAATATTAAATTAATGAAAATACATAAAAATAAACAAATAAATGAAAATAAATATGAATAAATAAAAATACATAAAAATAAAGAAAATAAATGGAAATAAATATAAATAAATAAAACACAAAAATAAAGAAGTAAATATTTATATGTAAATATAAATACATGAAAATAAATATGAATAAATAAAAATACATAAAAAACAAATAAAAATAAATATATAACACTCAAAAATAAACAATATAAATGTATAAAAACACCTATAAATAAAAATACATAAAAATAAATAAACAAATAAATAAAAATACAAGAAATAAACAAATAAATAAATATAAATAAAATACATAAAATAATTACAAATAAATAAAATAATTATAAATATGTTAGAAATGAACAAAATATAAAGATAAACATAAAATAAATGAATAAAATGCCTAAAATAAAAAAACAGATATACAGTGGGTACGGAAAGTATTCAGACCCCCTTAAATTTTTCACTCTTTGTTATATTGCAGCCATTTGCTAAAATCATTTAAGTTAATTTTTTTTCCTCATTAATGTACACACAGCACCCCATATTGACAGAAAAACACAGAATTGTTGACATTTTTGCAGATTTATTAAAAAAAGAAAAACTGAAATATCACATGGTCCTAAGTATTCAGACCCTTTGCTCAGTATTTAGTAGAAGCACCCTTT